AAAAAAAAAAAGAAATAAAATTTATATTTTTATCTTTAGTTCCATTTTCCCACTTTTTGAAGTCCCCTCTCATGTATATTGACAATTATGCTAAACACTTGCTCTGCATAATTTCATTCTCACAATGGCCCCATGAGATAGGTACTATTATTCTCATTCTTAAAATAAGGAAACAGATTCAGCAAGATAAAGATGTCCAAGATCACTCAACTAGAAAGATGAAGGTTCAAGACTCAAAGCCACCCAATCTGGCTTTTCTACCTCCAGAAACCACACTATGTGTCTATCTATCTATTTCTTTTTTTTAGTAAGAGTTTCACTCTGTCATCCAGGCTGCAGTGAGTGGCACAATCATAGCTCCCTGAAGCCTCTGGCTCCTTTCCTTGAACCATCCCAAGCAGCTGGGACCATACGCACTCAAATCATCACACTTGGTTAATTTTTTTTTTTAGAGACAGGGTCTCATTATGTTGTGCAGGCTGGTCTCAAACTTCTGGCCTCAAGTAATCTTTCCACCTTGGATTCCCAAAGTGCTGGGATTATAGGCACAAGGTACAATGCCTGACCCAGAAACCACACTATTAATAACTACTATAATGCCGATCAAGACAGGAAAATTTTAGTAATAGCTACCATTAATTGGAGCAGAGCACAGTGCTAAATGCTTTATCAAGGCTCCCTCAATCCTCACAATAAGCCTATGAAGCTGTAATTAATACCTCCATTTTATATATAGTAAACTGAGACCCAAAGGACCTGGGGTTTAAACCCAAGCAAGGTCTTACTTCAAGGTCAGTGGCCAGGGATAGCTTGGAAGCTGGTTCAGACTCTGGGAATCTGCTTCCCTGGCTAAAGCTGTGCTCGGGCTGATGAGATAGCTTGGAAGCTGGTTCAGACTCTGGGAATCTGCTTCCCTGGCTAACGCTGTGCTCGGGCTGATGAGATCACAGATGAAGGCTTTCCTGTGGACTTAGTGTCAAGACTGAACACTCCCACCGTCACCCCACCAAAAAATAAAGGCTGCAGCTCTTGTCCCTGCCTCCTGCCTAAGGTGCTAGGAAACACACTGAGTCATCTAATAGCAGGCCAACCCCCTCAGAAAATGCTGGCATCATCTTCCAGGCTGCTTCCCCTCCCATGCAACCTGGACCCAGACCTGATGTTTGTCAGGACTGGTGTGTCAGCCTCATCTTAATGAGTGGCTTTGCTTGGTGGTGTTCTCTGAGGTGGCAGAGGGCCAACAGTGATCCCCTCCTTGTAGACTGGCCTTTCTCCTTAGAAGAGAGCCCCTGGGTCAGGCAGGGAAAGCAACAGTCAACAATCTTTGCCCTAGCCCTTGTTTTCAATATGCCAAATTGAGGAAAAATAAAGTGGAAAGGAAGATGGAAAGCAGCCTCAAAAAAGAGAAGTTATAAAAACAGCCTTGTGGGCTGGGCATAGTGGCTCACGCCTATAATCCTAGCACTCCAAGAGGCCGAGGCAGGCGGACTGCCTGAGATCACGGGTTTGAGACCAGCCTGAGCAAGAGCAAGACCCTGTCTCTAAAAACAGCCAGGTGTTGCAGTGGGTGTCTGTAGTCCCAGATACTGGGGGGAGAGGGGGCCTGAGGCAAAAGAATCACTTGAGCCCA